AGCAGGAGCACTCAGTGAGCACTAGACGACATTCAAGTAAGCGATCCAAAAGTCGATAAAAACAACGGCAAATTCTGGCGCACGATCAAATAAAGAAAAACGATAAATCTCCCCGACCTCGGTTACCTTGCTGGACGCTCGCAGAGCCATTCCTTCGGATTCAAAATACGGCAAAGCGTGAAAATCCCTTAAACGCCAGTTCATCAAGAGTCTGAGGAATGACCGCGAGAAGTGGTGGATAGGGAAGTGCAGAAAAGTGGAGAAGGCTTCGCTTATCCGTAATAGTCGCAATCATTTTCCTTTACTTAGGAGTCGTCTTGAACTTTGGGCAGAACATTTTAAGGAACAGATCACCTGGTCCGCTTCGACACAAGACCACCCGTCACCCGGTTCAACTGTGCAAATACTGCCAGTTGACATCAGTCCTCCATCTGAAATGGAGGTATCTCGGGAAATAAGTTATCTCAAACGGCATAAGGCTTCCGGCCCCGACGGGCTGTCCTCATCCGTTTTGAAGATTGGAGGCTCANGAGAGAGAACAGGTTCCAACTGAATGGTGTGAATCGGTGATCATACCGATTTACAAGAAGGGCCACAGGTCCTCTTGTGAAAACCACAGAGGAATTAGTTTGACCAACATCATCTCGCCGGCATCATACGCCGTCGATTGTCTGCCGCACGTGAATGGTGTAACGCGTGAGAACCGGTATCATACTCCGTCGATTGTCTGCCGCACGTGAACGGTGTACGCGTGAGAAGCAGGCTGGTTTCAGACCTGGTCGAGGCTGCATTGACCACATCTTCACACTTCGTCAAATTCTAGAACATAGACACTGCTTTCGTAGACCCACCATTTCTATCTTCCTCGATCCAAAGGCGGCTTTCGACTGAGTCGACCGCTCTAAACTCTGGCGCTGCCTTTCCCTGAAGGGAGTGCCCGAGAAGTTTATTTCGATATTACAATCCCTCTATAATAATAGCCGAAGCGGAGTTCGAGCATACGGCACTTTTTCACCCGAGTTCACCACAGAAAGTGGTGTTAGACAGGGTTGTCCTCTCTCTCCTTTTCTATTTAACTTCGTGATAGATTCAATTCTTGAAACAGCCCTATCCTCGTGCGAGGATAGCGGTATCGATTTACTTCCGAGTGGCAGACTGTCTGATCTAGAGTATGCAGACGACATTGTGCTACTAAGTGAAGATCCAGGTAAGTTGCAAGCTTTGTTGGATAGTTCGAGTGCTAGTGTAGCCATGTTCGGTATGAGTTTTGCACGTTCAAAGTGTAAAATGTTACTACAAGATTGGGTCGATCCAGCACCCAGTCTCACCCTAACTGAGAAGTAGTAGAGGAAGTAGACAAATATGGCTATCTGGGTAGCTATATGTCACCCGGCGCACGCATCACAGATGAAGTGTCGGCGCGCATACAAAAGACTCGATTGGCATTTGCCAACTTAAGACATTTTTGGCGCCGTCGCGACATCCGGCTGTCTGTGAAGGGTCGAGTATATGCTGCAGCACTTCGGCCAGTCCTGCTCTACGGTTCAGTGACTTTGCATTTTTAGGAACAGGATAAAAATGTGTATGCTGCAGCAGTTCGGCCATTCCTGCTCTACGGTGCAGAGACTTGGCCACTAAGGGAACAGGATAAAAATAGATTTTCGGTGTTCGAACACCGCTGTCTACGTAGCATTGCATGTGTCTGGTGGGGTAACCGGACTAGCAGTGCTGAGGTTAGACGTAGAGTTTTCAGGTAGTCGCGGTCGTCCACTAAGCAAGTGATCGACCTCCATAGATTACGCTGGTTGGGACATGTGTTACGTATGTCGCCAGATAGGTTGCCGCGGCGAACGATGTCTGGCGAGGCAAGTATCGTTTGGAAAAAAGCCAGGGGGCGGTCAAACTAAGACCTGGCATGAGGGTATGAAAACCCTAACCATGAGACTGGCTCACAGTACTCCCGTTAGGCTCCCTGGCCGGGTACCCATTGATTATGGTCACCGATGGTTAGCTACACTGAGTGATATGGCTGGGTGTCGCAAACAGTTGCGATCATGCATCTTCTCCGTTTTCTTGTAACTTCAGTCTATGAAAATGTGCTACCTTTCGCTTAAATTTGCTGTCAACATTATAATCATCATTCTGCTCTGTTATCCAAATGGGGCACCAAAAGACAGCAAGCAAAACTGGCGCACGAAAGTCCATGGTTAATGGTTGTAAGAACTGAACTGAACTGGTTGATATCCAAGATGTCCAATGCATTTCTACACCCAGTTGAGCCGATGACTGCTGTGACGACCAGGAAGTTGTTGGCACCTGTATTTTGTACGTTAGTTCTTGGTTTCTTTGCAACTAGGGTGTCTATGCAACTCCCTGAGTGAACTACTAGTGTTTCACTGTGGTAGGACGAAGAACCAACATCTATCGGCGTCCGCTCTGAGACTTCTGGAGGTTAGCCACTCTCAAGACTGCCAAATTTAACTGGCACCAGTATAATCCGACCTACAGTACCACTGACTACGGCCGACCGATCAGTGATCTAATCGGTTTTTTCTCATGGACTCATTCCGCTTCAAACTTTTAACCTGGAAAACAAACAAGCAGCTCTACTCCAATTTATTTTTCTGTACATTTCGGTTGTTTTACTGGCAGAAACAAAATAATGCGAATAGGTTCCTAATCAGTGTATCAGGTTTTGCTCATCTTTAGGTTAGTTTATGATTTTTGTTTCACTTCACTAATACAAATTAGGCTTGTATTTCCCGGAATACTTCAACGAACAGTTCAGCTGGCCTAGTGCTAACCAGGCTGCTTCATCTCCGACTTAAGCCCCGTGGGCAGTGGCATGCGACCCTCCAACGGAAGCAGAAGTTCGGTCTTGCATTCAATCTCTGAAGTGAGAAAAGCAGCAGGACCTGATGAGCTCCCTCCCACTCTTTTCAAGATGGGAGGTGATTACCTCGTAACCTCTACTACTACGCTACTGCGCAACATTTGGATGCAAGAACGCATTCCTTCATCTTGGGGCGAATCACTGATCGTTCTCATTTTCAAGAAGGGATCCCCCAACGATTGCGAAAACCACCGCGGGATAAGTTTGATCCCGATCGTCACCAAAGTGCTAGCTTCGGTTATACTTCGACGTCTGATGCCTTTAAGAGAGACCAACATCCGTGAACAGCAAGCCGGATTCCGGCCTGGCCGTGGATGTATTGATCAGATTTTTACGTTGCGTCAGATCCTTGAGCTGCGTCATACTCACCGTCGGCCAACGATCGCAGTGTTCCTTGACCTGAAAGGAGCCTTCGACTCAGTTGACCGCGAAGCTCAGCTGGGCTGCCTTCTTCGAAAAGGAATGTCCCAGAAGTACGTTAACCTACTTAGGTTACTGTACTCACATACCTCTGGTCCTGTAAGGGCCTACAACGAACTAAGTAGGCTGTTCGTCACCAGTAGCGGCGTTCGTCAAGGGTGCTCTCTTCCACCGTTCCTGTTCAATTTCGTCGTAGACGAAACACTGGAGAGTGCACTAAGGGGACTCCAAAACATAGGTATTGAATGGACAGCTGGAGAAAAGCTATGCGATTTGGAGTACGCCGATGATATCGTCTGTCTATTCGAATATATGGAGGACGCGCAAAGTGCTTTTGATAGATTAACCTTTGTATATGGGCAGAATGACTCCTTGTTTCCACGAGTCGGGGAGTGTTGCTTGATCGAACATTCGTTGAAACAGAATAGCTAGCGGTTCGGATATTGAATTTGCCAAAAAGATCAGAGATTTCGGGTGTATGTTGTCCACACCTGGGGTTGCATTTTTTCGCAAAGCCATTATTTTTGCTTTGACCTTTTCAGCAGTAAATGGAACGTAGGTGCTTTGCACCTTCAAAGTGCAAAGTGATGCTGCAGGACAGGGTTTCGTCTACTCTCGCTCTGAAACTTAATAGTCAGTATTTAGTTATGGTGGATTATTTTTCCTACTTAGGTAGTTGCGTGACCAATGACGGTAGCGCAGCAAAGGAAATAACCGCCCGCATTTCCAAGGCTCGAGCAGCGTACGCAGGACTGAAACACCTTTGGCGTAGTCGCGATGTTTCACTGAAATTGAAAGGTGCCACCATTCGTTCAGTTCTGCTTTATAGTTGTGAGACCTTGAATTTGCGAGAAGAAGATATCCGTCGACTTGAAATTTTCGATTATCGGTGTTTACGCAGTTTAGCCCACGTTGGATGGAGCGAATGGGTTAGTAACGTGGAGGTAAGCCGTCGTGTGTTTGTGAGTCTATCAGGTATAAATCTGCTTGCACACCGAATTTAGATTACTAGGCTTCGCTGGCTAGGGCACGTATTGCGTATGCCTAGCTGTCGTCTGCCGCACCGCGCCTTATCCGCTGTAGCTAATCCGGGCTGGAGAAAACCACGTGGAGGTCAACAGATGACGTGGAGACGGGACCTGAAGAAATGCACAGAGCCATTAGGTAGAGTAGATGTCTCTCGCCTTCCAGGTTGGGGTCCGAAAGACTCCACAACTGGTTGGTTGGAGACACTGAAGGATATGGCAGCGAACCGGCAGCAGTGGCGTTCTTGTTGTCGTTTCTTATCAGGTCAGAATGCTTGAAACGGTATGTATGCAGAGTTCGATTGCGTACTCTGTTTGTTGACCATAGTGGCTCATCTCCCTTCCTCAAAATAAATCCAACCCCTGTCCACCTTAAATTTTACCACTATGCATTGTGAGTTTGGCAGCGGTCAGTGAAGTTCGCTTCACTGTATTTTGCTGTACGATGATGATGATGATGATGATTGTATTTCCCGCCCAGTTTAGTGGAGCAAAATGTTTGCAACTTTGATGGGCGGCTCAACCTTTCAGAATGCTTCCGAGGCGTTACTCCTGTTTCCAAATGATAACCACTGGTTGGTGGTAAAACTTTTCAGTGTTTGACTTTGTTCTACAAATCACCGGGAAATGTGGTTGTTCGTATTTGTTTGTGTTTCAGCCCCATGATGCACGTTATTATGGAACGACATGGCAGCGGAAGTTCGGAGCAGGTTTCCCGTTTTCCACTTACCAAGGCTAAGGCTGGTCCCGATGGACGGCCAGTCATTCGTTGTGCTACGCTTCTCAACTTCCTAAAACGTGTGGCATTAACGCACAATTTGCAGTTTACTCCATGCTCATCAGCAGAGGAAACTGCCAATCATAATGTTGCATGGCGCTTGGATTCGGACTGTTTTGCGGTCCAAATTTGTGTCACCAAAGCTGCACCAATGGAATTTGATGGTCCTACATTCGTTCCAGGTGCAACCAATTTTGATGAACTGGTGCATGTATCTGCCGTGTATTTTGAACACAGTCATGAAAAGTTAATGGTGAGGAATTCTTCTCCAAACACTATTTAAGCAGTATTTCGATGTGATCTGCTCAGTTTCAGTTTTTGCAACCATGCACTTTCGTGCACCGGTTTTGATTGCTGTCTTTTGGCTGTCAACTTGATTTATTGTCGTNTCAAAGAGGATGTTACGAATTCTCTCTCTCTCACTGGATACATTTTTTCTGTTTGTAGTCACTCGAACTCGTTTCGGATCTTAATGCGGGAAAGTTTGAGTCATTGGCACAACATATCAGAAACCTGATGACCATTTATTCCATCCCTGGAAGCAAGTAAGTATATCCTAATTCACTTCTCCAAAATTATTGATTATAACGAGCTATTTCCTCCAGTGGCGATGATATTATAGTTCAGATCGATCATGTGTGCCTAGTTCCTCGGGGGAGTGGGGGGGGGGGTCGCAGTTCAATCCAATTAATTCGATGATGAGAAACCCTTTTTGTTAGTGGACGTAGTTTCTCAGTTTCTGTTTTGTGCATATTGTTACGGCCAAACTTCCCGATTGGTGTTATTGTGCAGTGGATTTTTGTGTGTTTATATCGTTCACCTTATTCACGATGACATGTAGTGTTTTAATATTTTTTTCCATCCAATGGCTACAGCCTCATCAATCGGGAGTTTAGGCCTGTTAAAATATTCGCGCATCACGGTAGTCGACATGTTTTGGCAATCGAAGTAATTTTCAATTTATGGTTGATGTAAATTGCAAAATTGAACTTTTATTCAAATGGTCGCGATAACACTTTGACTATCTCAGTACTCATTCAGCAAAATTTCATTGGTTATACTGTGTCGTATCACCTTGTTCAATCTGCATAGTTGTTTCTCCAAAGGAAGAAAAGCTCGAAGGGAATCCTATCGAATGAAAAACGCAGTTTAGCGAAAAAGCTTTATTTTCTCGGTTTGTATTATTATGTACCTCTGGCTTATGCACGGATGCTTTTTGTTTCCAGCTTGGAGCGTGTTCGCGCTTACCTGTGTCTACATGTGCTGGAACAGGACCTGTCATTGCTCAGTCAAACTCAACGGGCTGACCTCACCGAAGCAGAACGGAATGCCGCCCTAGCACTTCGACCTTTGGCTATACACACCATGGATCCGGCTGATCGGCAAAGAATGGTGAATTCGTCCATTGTTGGTCTATTCCTTAAACGAAGCGGCGGTCGTTTGGCTAAGCTTACCTATCTGATCACTTCGGCACAAACAGCTATGGCCAAAGCAACCGAACAACACAATTCAGCAGATGGGCTTTCGCGATCCACAGGGTTTGTCAATGGTCATTCGTCGAACCGTGTCACCTCTGGTCGAGGACCATTAGACACATTATCTAACCATGGGTTTTCCGCAAGAGTGGGACTTCGATCCCGTGTGCCACTCGATGAGTTTGGGACCATCCAACCTACCGTGCAACATCTGCCTATTATCCCATTGGTCACACTGCATGAGACCAGCTTTGGTGATAGGTATGATTGATTTTTCCCTCCGATGACAAATTATTGAACATCGATTCTTGTAGCTCTGGTGAACTGAATTCTATTTCGTCTGTTCACCGAGCTTGACAATTTGTTTGCAAACGTTCGCAAACAAATCGCCAAGCTCGGCAAACAGGCGAAATAGAATACTTTTTCCTCTCATCCCATGTTTGTGTGATTTGTACTGTAGTCCGAATTTTTTTGTATGATGTTTTGAAAGTGTATTCGTCAGAGAGAGCTCACGCAACAATCACCGCGGGAAAGTGTTAGAAGCTCAGTGTATTTGTTAATTGTTCTTGGGAGTCATCCACAATGCATATCTCCCGGATCAACTGGTATTCGAACCCGGGCATGAAGGATTACTTTGTATAATACTACCGTTCTCTCCATTTCAATCACCATTCTCTTCAGCGTACCCGAGTTTGCAGAACCTGATGAATTAAAGTGTGTGGCGCTAGAAGCTGAATTGGTCCTCTACTTGGATCCACCGATTCCACTTCCGACGGAGGCGGTGCGTGAACTAGAGCGAATTACCGGTAAGTTAATCTGCATACCGGCTCACATTGGAGTCCAAAACTGGAAGTAGCATAATATGTGATGAGTTATTCTGCCAGTGCTGCCAACTATTGCAGTTACCCCTTCCGACTTATCTCAACTCTGACTTGATTTGAACAGAGAAAACTGCGTTTTAAACTCCCAAGGAAGAACTCAGAACAGCACACTGATTGAACCTATAGTTACTAAGACATCATCATCGTCATCGTTCAACTGAATTTCACTCTGACCTTCTGTGCTTGTAGCATTCGACGTATTTTATTTCGTTTCATAATCACCATTTATGGATACCGGGGCGATTTAGGTGTCATGTCTTCTATCACAACCGTGAATTTTAGATGAAGGGAATGTCTCCCTCACAATGGTGTTACTTATTTGTGTTTTATACGACTCATATATATTCATTAACGCATACATTTTGGTCGACCCATGTTTACGGGGTCTGGGGAAAATAGCTCAATCAGTAGCAGGAAATGATATTAGATCGAACGAAATATGCTGTTGCCATGTAGTACTTCGTTTTCATCGGTGCGAGCCGGATGGTGTGTATCATCCAGTCACATTCAGCAGCAGTACAAATTTTTTTGTGTGGCATTCAGCCATCTGAGATTTTCAGATATCTTTGCTATTTTTACATTCGGTCGTAAACGACGTCATGTGACTGCATTGTTCACGACGCTTGCGAAGGTATGCCACTTCTGTAACCAGTGCATCCAAGTTTCCGTTTAGTTCGGCCGAATCATATGCTTTCGCGAATCTGCTCAGATAATCACTCATTTGTAAGCCGAAGAAAATGCACCACGGGGATCATGGTGTTGTTTATATATATATATATATACTGTGTGTGTGTGTGTGTGTGTGTGTGTGTGTGTGTGTGTGTGATCGCTACATATCGGATCGGTTTTGCGTCTGGAAACATCCACCCCTTATAAATGTCGGTAAATAAAGCCACACGATTTCATGTCGATTCCATTGTTGTGGTAACAAAAATGGAATAACAGTGTAGCTGGTAGGAGTTTGTTAGGATCAGAGTTTTCAAATCAGGTCTCGACCTTACATGTTATCCCTCATTCATGGGTCCAAATCTGCCTGCCTTGAGTGCTTAGGTCTTCTTGGCATCATCTGTTTTTCCCCTAGTCACACGACACTTGTACGGATGTGTGTGCCTACGTGCTAACCCTCCCTGTGCCCCATTCTGAAGAACCGTTTCTTCTATGATTTTAGGTTTGAAGAACACCGAGTTGCTGGACAAAGATGAGGATGATTTGACACGGTTGATTTTGGCGCAACACAATCAACACTATTTGTATGGAATCAATCCACATATTGTGAGTTATTTTTGTATTTTCCATTGCACTAATATCTCAAGTTGATAACTAATTGTAATTGTTCATGACCAATAATTATCGTACATGTTTTCAACGTGGTTGAACAACGGTCCTAATTAAAAAAACGCCACGGGTATCGGTTAGTTGCCTTATCCTACAGCATCACCAAACAACCAGTTCCAGAGTCTATTGGACCCTAACCCAGAAGACGGAATGCACCTACTCTACCTAATCGCTCGGTGCACTTCTACATACCCCGTTTCCATGTCACCTTCGCAAAAAACATCTGTGGTCAGCATTGAGATGAGACGATTCTGGCAGGTCACTAAACATGATCACTGCAGCTTGCTGAATTCCATTTTCCCCACCAGGTTATTTAAAGAGGCGAATGAACCGTCCGGTTGGTCATTGGCTCACCTGGAACGGGACTGTGCGATTGCGATGACTCTTTACATACCCTATCTTCATTCATGACTGGTAGCACTAGGAGACATACCGTTTGACTGTTAAACTATTCGAAGATGTTTTCCAGTTGCACTTACCCCCTCCACTAATATCGAATGACTGTACAATTGTGGCAAAATATCCTATGCGAAAACTGTTCTTCCACCCTTTCCCCAATCACCTCCCGACATCACAGGAATGCCGTCCATTGTGTTTATTTTTGATAGTGCTAGGCATATTGTTTTCCGTTCCCTTTTTNAACGGCAGACGGGGCATATCCCATAGTCACGAAGACCTGCTGTTCAGTAATGGCAACCGGAAGCCTAAGCCCCGGGACTTGGAGTTAGCGAACCACACAAGGCCTCGCTAGGTTTGAATTGGTATTGAACCGGATGACAGCCAAGCTGCCTAGCCCAAAGTGGTGTGGCGGTGGCGCGGCTCAAACCTCGGACCACAAGTTCCAAAGCACGCCGGTTTACAGTGACTAAACCACCGCGCCACCATCATTTTGAACAGCCTATCGGCACTCTGGATTTCTCTACTCATGCAGCTACTTCAGCTTTGTTGAAATAATCCCACAGAGCACATTTCAAACAAAACAACAGAGTGGCGAACAAGCTCGTTTTCAGAGATTCGTATTCATGCCAATACATCTCAATATATATCACTACTTGGGAATAAAATTGTCAT